GTGGAGCGGTGTGTGGGAAGACCGTGGATGGGATTGTTCTAGGGGATCATCAGTATTAAGGGAGGAGCTTTATTTGTCAAGAATGTTATATTGTAAAAGGTTCCTGAATTTTTGGATGAGATCTTGTTCATTTTATTCGAGCCTAAATATAGTCATGTGGAATGGCTGCTAGTTGGTACAGGCAACCGCGTACCACGTGTCTCAAGACTCCCTCTCAATAGGAGCGTTCTCACGTCCTACATCCGGGGCAAAACCCCTGCGTGTCTTTCAATGCTTTTTTTTTTTATCGAGGAGAAGAGGGGGCTGACTTCGAAAGAGCCCATTACCGGAAGACCCAATGACATGTTACTTACATAAAGATGAAGGGGTCATTTTGGGAAATATTTAAGAGGTCGTGGTCTTGATTTAAAAAACTTTCCAAATAAACAAGGGTTGTTGTACTACATTAACACGTTCTGGTCTAAATTCATTCATAGCACTGAGAGCTGCACACGGTGAGTGTTGCAGATACACGAAAAGGTGGAAGGTGGCGGGAATTCCATAGAGATGTCCCACTAAGGACGGAAGGGGGGATGAGGATGCCGAGATTTGGTGAAAAATAACCGTTGCTCATAGTCCATTTTTGTCGGCTGAATCTTTCAGTTGCGGACTGCCTTCTTATATCCATAACGATAATTTTTACTTAATCGATCTTCGAGAATATATTGTTCTCGCGATTTTTACAATCAAAACTGAGTGAGGTTTACATAGTCGGTTTTCCCCCCTCATGTTCTGGTAAGATCTATTCATGGTCCAACTATCCGTGCTTCTTCTAGTACGTTGGTGTTTATACCGCTATTGGGGTAGCGAATCAAGAAGACTCGGTTTCTGGCTCTGTTGCGACGGTCATTAGTGCACAGCAGAACACCCTCTTTTCTCATTATGTATGGCCAGCACTGCGGCATATAATCTTCGCAACGACGGCGGTGGAGCGTTTCATTTCTCTTCGATTCACATCCTCGACTTTGATTATTCCCATTATGTCGGCCGCTTGTATGCTTTAGCGTCGCCATTCACTTACTATATTACTTGTACTTTGCTCAAGAAGACGGCTCTATATTTTGCTCGTTTTTTCATTAGAGAATGCTGAGTTCCATTGGGATAATAGCATACTATTACTCATTTAGATGGAACGATAGAGCAAAGGTCTTCTTTGTCGTACATTTCACCTATCGTTTGAAGCCGCTCAAGTTCTTTTAATTATCTAAAAAAATCTTGTTAAATGATCGAAAATCAACAAGTTTCATGACGATGCAAGCTGATCGTACTGGATTTTTTTTTGGAGGGAGACAGGGATGTGCGAGCGATCTCATATATGGTTAAGGGCCTGTAAACTTTGTACTAAGAATTCTATGCAAAATAAAGAATCTGTTTAGTCATATAAATTTCCATTAACTGCTATTCAACGGCCGAAGGCCGTTCGATGCAAATAAATAGTTTAGGAGAGAACTAAATGTGTGGATAATTGGGAAAGAGGATGGGTTGGAAGAGGGGGGGAACCAAAGGGGAAAAAAAAAAACAAGAAAAATTGAAAGCGAACGAAGGAGCGCTTATGGATTATGTGGCAACATGTATCATGAAGGAGGTAAAAAAAAGGGGGGGAGGGAAAAAGTGGCTCGTGTGTGAAAAAAAAAAAAAAAGAAGAACAGGGAAAAATAAAAGGAGACAAAAACCAAAAATAAAATTTGAAGACACTGGGAAAACGGTTGGTTTAATTACTGTGGTACCTTGCCATGTGGTGGTCACCCTAGAACTTGACAGTTAAACTTAAATACCATAACATCAGTCTAAGTTGTTATATTTCATTTGGCGGTTCGGAAGTTGAAACTCCTCACTATTGTTGTAATAAAGCCTGCGAGAACACTCAGATTATGGATAGGTTTCAGAGTGTCCTATGAAATTTGTAAATGGCCCATGTTTTCCCGGAGTCCATTTCAAAATCTTTTCTCGTAAACATTTATGCAAATAGGATATTTGCCATGAGAACTTTTTGTTCACCGTTATCGGTCCGGGCACTTTGGAATTCTTTTAATTGGTCTTAATTGTACGTTTTTTCTTCACGCAACCTTGGTAATGTTCCAATCAACCCAGTTTTTTGTAGCGTTGACAACAATCGTCCGGCTAATCACTCATATCCATAGTCATAGCAACCAGCAACTCTAAATGCCGCCAACTAAAATCATTTTATTTTTGCATAGATTTTAGATTGCCCTCCTTGCGACAGCCTTTGTGATTTTTGGGACATAAAAGTGGGTTTTTTCTAGATCTTGTAAAGTTCTGTCTTACCCACAAACCTTTTGCCATAGGGGATAAACACCTCTGAAATCCGAGTTATGTCAAAGATTTAATTGCTCAACCTTTCGTTCACCTCCGTATATTTTCTTTTCCCCTCTTAGTCAAATGGCATTCTCCAGAGTCCGACCGTTTGAATAAAGCATCTCTATGTATATGCTAACAATCGTTTGATTAAGTACACCGTTTATTTGCCTTGAGGAATTGGTTGATGCATGGGAGCTTGCACAAAGAATAATATGTGTCATTTAAAATTTTCCATTTTACGTGACTCATTGCATTTAGTCTCTTGTGCTAATCTAGAGTAATGGCATCGATCCGTTTTCCTTGCATTTATCGTCCCAAAGGTCCTTCGACATTCCCCACGAGGAATATTGCAGGAGAGCGCTGGGGTGGAGGGATTCCCGAACCAGCAAGATGGCTTTGCCTGACACACTGCACCTAACCACTCCACTGGCCACTGTCCATGAAGGTCTCTTGGGCCTAATGTCCCAATATTCCTATGGTTTGAAGTATCAATGAATGAAAGATGAAATATTCGGATTTTTCTCCTTTTTCGGAAAATCACGTTTTTTCGAACAACATTCATGAATTTGATTTTCGAAGCTCGGACGACCTCCATAGTTTCAGTGTTGTGAAACTCCTGATATTTTTTACAAGTTTGACGATTTTTTCTTTTTTTTGGACAACAAAGGTTTTTGTTTTTGGAGAAAATGTAGCTGATTGCAAAATATACGCAATCGAAAAATGATTTCTTGCTTAGCCAAAAGTCAAAATTTTCTCTTTGAAAATATTTCATCCTTGGCTGCGACGTTTATCATTTACATAGAACATGTTTTTATTAGCATTTATTATCCTTATTTGTTTTTTCCCTTTCATTTTCCATTCAATCTTTCCACGTAATGATCCCAGGGACGATTTCAGGGAAACAGTGAAGAGCAAATTAAAAAAATCAAAGAAAATATGGCATGACAGGATCTGACGTCTCCACATTCACTATGAACTCACGGTGACTTTTCATTCGTCCGGCATTTGCTTGCATCGCGTTCCGAGCCGTGCCGAGCCTCACGGAGGCGTGGCCCCCCTCCCGTTCATTGTGCTATTTTCATTCCAGCCGTGTGTTGCCCACCATGGATGGCCATCTGGCTGTGCGTATTGATTTTTCCATCGATTTTCTTCTATTTTTTTCACTGGCGACATTTCTCAGTATCCGTGAAACGGACACTCGTCCATGTTCGACTAACCGCTCGCCGTAACTTTCGCAGCATCTATGATAAATTGCCATTCTAGCTTTTTTTTGCGTTTTCGAGTGTTTTTTTTAAGTCCACAGGTCAAACTTCAATATGCCCGACAACTATTTTTTAAGCCACGCAACGCATGTCAGTGATCTGTTAATGAAAGGGCTGACTTAATAGACCGATACACGTGTTTCGATCTTGCGATCTCGTCAGTCGGGCCGTTTATCCTTTCTCGCCTTTTGCCAATCCTGTGTGGGTGCTCCAGTCCCCACACTAAGAGTTAGCGACGACGAACGATTTACCACTCTACGTCCAGTGAAATATCACCGACACAGAGCGTTGTACACTGACATGCGTGGCTTAAAAAATGTTATCACGCATATTGAAGTTTGAGCTGTGGTCTTAAGAAAACACTCGAAACGAAAGATATGTAATAAATATACTAGCCATGAGCAATCGAGTGTACAGCATTCTGTGTTCATTGATAATTTCACTGGACATGAAGTGTAAAAGTTCGTTCGTCGTTGCTAACTCCTAGTGTGGGGACTGGAGCATCCACACAAGATTGGCAAAAGACGAGAAAGGGTAATTGCCCGACTGACGAGACTGCAAGGTCTAAAACACATGTATCGGAGTCTAGAAGTCAGCCCATTTATCAGACCACTGACATGTGTGGCTCAAAAAATAATCATCAGGCATGTCATTCGAGGGTTGTTGTTCATAGATTATACGCAACACTTAGCGTCATATCACTGAAAGAGGACATGCGGAAATTACTGGGTTGGCAAATAATTTTCCGGGCTTTTTCGATTTCGTTGATTATTTTCTGTGGGTCGGTAGTACAACGGTCCAGCACGCGCTCCTGGAAAGAGTGAGATCTGTGTTCGAATCCCGACTGACGCAAATGTTTTGGCACACCACTCTACACTCTGGGTTTAACATTATACCAGCGCAATACGCGATCAAATAAAAGTGCATTCTTATTTATTATTCTCTATGCATTCAAGTTTTTGTCTTTTCTATCGTTTAGAGTAGATTTTTGTGGTTATCTTGGTATATTACACTTATATATTTGTTTTGAGATGTATTTGCCCCAAGAGCAAAACAATTGTTCATGCTACACAATATCGTTGCGTGCGAAAAGTAACACTTGAGCCCAGAGAATAATCGTGGGAGAATCAGCAATCGTTTTTGTTTTTGGGACAACGACATCTCGAAACAAATGTATAACTGTTAAGTGTCAAATTACCGCAAAAATCTACTCTTAACGATAGTTAAAAGAAAACTCAAATGCATGAAAAATAATCAAGGAAATTTCTTGTCAACCCAATAATACACTCGTAATGTACATAGAGTTCTCAAACAAATATTAAGAGTTTGGTTCAGAGTAGTTATATATTCCTAAGAGAACTTATTGGTGAGCAAAAACATGGCTTCAGGCGGGAATCGAACCCGCGTTTCATCCTATACGGGACGCGTTGCTCTACCACTACACCAATTCAGTTTTCTTAAGAATATATGGATGATCATAATACTGCGAAAAAATGCAATAAGAACACCAGAAATCTCGAAGTAGTTAGTAACTATGTTGTGCTTTGACTTCTTCATTTTCTAGAGCCTTCGAAACGTCACTGGTTTTTCCTATGAGGCGCTCAAAGGCATAACACCTTCGAGTTCACGTTGTAATTGAAAACGTTGGTGAAATTTCAGCAGAAGAAAAAGTTAGGAAAGAGCTTGGATAAGGCATAGAAATAATGTAATCAAAAATATGGGAAAAATATAAAAAAATTTATGTTTTGACCAATAATAAGGGATCTAGATGGGAAGCCACATTTTCTTAAAAATGAATAGGTAATATCTGAAGTAGCTGGATAGTCATTAGCTTCCGAAATAACTACTTATCAAGGCTTTTATGTTCGAAAACAAAGTCTACGATGGTGACAGATGGTGGCAAGCGTCTTAGTCATTTCTTTAAGGATTTTGAAGTCAAATGGCTTAAACTCTATAATAACATCTGATTATTTTGAAAGAGATTGGCGATAAGAACACATTTTGAGCAGAATATCAATTGGAACGATAATTACTTTATTTCGTAGAGTGGTGTGCAAAAACATTTGCGTCAGCTGGCATTCACGTCAGCGGTGCAACGGTTCGGCACAAGCTCTCGGAAAGAGTGAGATCTGGGTTCGAATCCCGGCAGACGCAAATGTTTTTGCACACCATTCTACATCATTGAGTTTACTGTAACGTCATACCATTGCAATACACAGTCAAATAGAATGAATTCTACTTTGTATCGTTTGATGATGAAGAGAGCTCTCCTCTGCAAAAGTTTTTGTTCTTGTTTTCATTCAAATTTTTCATTTTTTTTTCGTTTGAGCTCCAAATGACCTCAACAGGGATCGTTCAGACTAAAATATATGAAAACCCATCGCTGCTTGAATAAATTTCTCTTATTTTATTTCATTGATATTCTATGTCATCGTAGTCATTTTAACCTTCAGCTGATTTCGACCACGATTCAGAGAAATGAATTACGATCTAGCAGGAGATTTCGAAGTCATGCTCTGACTTGAGAGGCTGCAGAAACTTAAATTAGAAATTAATCGAAATGATAGGGAATAAAGTGTTCGACATCTCCCTCACCCTTACAGACGCGTTATAGCTCGTCTCCGGTAGTAGTATCGGTAAGTGATAAAATACATATCTGGACTTCACAATGATTTTTTGTGGTCTACCATTATGTTAGGTCAGTGTTTTATCCTCCCAGACTAGTGTCGGACTTAGGTCTCAACACTACGCTAAGTTTGCCATGGGCCGGAATTGAACCAAGGATTAGGTGTTTGCCACAGAGCCACTCTAACTACCGCACGATCATCGTTTTGACAGCTTACAATTGTTCACTGTATTTACTGCAAGATTTACTGTTAGTTACCATAGCTTAACATTATGTACATACGTTTTTCGCGTCAGCAAACGCCAAAACGAGTAGCGTTCATATATAAAGTCCTTCAGGCTCCAAAAAAAAAGCGAAATGAATACAAGCGTTAGCATTTGCTGAGTAACAACTGTATTATTAACTTCGTATCATCTCCTCAGCGAAATCTTGAAGTAATCAACCAATGCTGAGGCTGCGGAAACGCTAGAAAAAGTCTTCATAAGCTTTTGTTCCCTGCACCCTTTCCCTCTCGTTCCACATTTCCCGTCACACCGTGCTTACGCATAAGCCCAATGGGAAATGAGTTCAAAGAACGCCACAGAACTAGCGAGATTCGGCGCCCACGTAGAGAAGGGGAAATTTCGGCGGAGGTCAGGGACGATGACGAATCAGTTCAAAGAACACCGCAAAGCTCGTGCAATCATGGGCCATGCGACGCGAAGAGGAAAATCACAAGGGTGGTAATCAGACGGCAAGGATTCGTTCTCTTCAGCTCTCAAGATTCACCCGAATGTCCTACTAAACAAGTGCCCAATCAATAAGAGAACAATTCCGTATCAAGTGGAACCCATTCATATCAAAAATACTTGCTACGACAGCTGCTCTGTAATTTATCAATTGCCATTAGTGTTGTTCAGAACGTTTCGATTCACGTAGGAAAGCAGTGATATTTCGGTGGTTCTTCAGTACGATTTCGTGCATATAAACTTCATGGATCAATATTTATCATGTATAACATATAACACATAAATAAGTATTCATAATGGAATTTAATATAAGGACTTGCAGGTGATAATTTTGTATATCACTGTATCAAATTAATTTAATCTATGCTGAAATAAGCTTCACAAAGCTTCTGTGCTTCACAAATTTTTTATGTATAGCAAAAGAAATAACACTTTGCATAAAAATGTTTCTGAATAAAAAAAACCTTTACAAATTCTAGGAAAGCAAGAGTATATTTAGTAAAGAGTTTGTCTAATTTTGTAATGAGTTGAAACACCGACTTTAACGTAATTTCATCATGAATAATTAAACAGTTGCCTGATAGCTATTTTTGAGCTATGCATGGTTTGTTATGGGTACTTATACTATGCAATACACGTGTTTCGGCCTTGCACAACCTCGTCAGTTGCACACTGCCTTTCGTTTTAGGCAAACGCTCTTCGGAGGAGCCTAACCACTATACACAGACTAGACGCAGGCGTAACACGCGCCGTTAAGTGAAAAGGGGTTAGATCAAGAACCCAGCAGGGATGATTGGCTAAGACAAAAGGCACTGTGCAACTGGCGAGGCTGTGCGAGACCGGAACACGTGTATTGCACTGAATAGATGCCACAACAGCCCACATGCATGGCTCAAAAATAATTATCATGCATATTGAAGTTTAAGCTTTGGTTTAAAGAAGCACTCGAAGCGATAGGCTTCTCACCAACTGTTGTTTTATCGATGTTGTGCAAAGTTGGTATATGCTCTTCATAACAGATAACTGAGGCCTCGATGACTTTAACTTTGTCAGAGTCTAGACATGCATCACCATACCATATCTGATTGATAAATTAGCTAATATCTATCATACCAAATGGAAATCTAGTGCCAAATCTAATTCAAATGCCACCTATCAAACAAAACCCACCGTTCGCTTACTTACAAAGCGCAGATCACCGCTGTATTGTCTACATTATGGAATTATCACCATTCATATCAATAGTGTGTGGCATTCTATTTGAAATTCTGTCATTCGTGTGATATACATTGAAGCTGACGATATTCTTATTCATACTGTGTAACAAAACATCGGTGATCTTTTCCATAACAGTACATAAACGATGTGTTATATTTAGGTAGGCATATGTGAGCTGATTTTTTCATCAGATTTTCTCTAGATTAGAGAATATTAGCTGGATAATTAGATAACGCATGACATTTAATATGCGTCTTGGTTCTGACGAAGACGAAGCCGCGGGAACGTCATCCATCAATATTGACGAAAACATACCAACCTCGTGACTTTTTGAATAAGCACAGTTTTTAAGCTTGTCTAACTGTTTGTCAAGCTTCTTTTTTGATGAATCCCTATCAAAGTGTAACTAGACTTAGGACAGCTAAAAAAGTTTTTATTACCTTTTTATATAATCATGTTACCTATAATACAATTGAACATCTTTGTATTGATACAGTTGCATTTTATTGTTGTTAATGAAGCTGAAGTTCTTAAGTCTTGAAAGAATGCGTGAATGCTTACGTAATTCCTTACAAGCACCGTTCAATCAGTCCCACCAATTTACATCAAACTATAGCAATTGAAGATTATACTGCACAAATGTCATGCATAAAAGTGCGAGTAACCTTTCATCTTCTAGAATAGTCAGTAAAAACGCTCACAGCGGAGAAATTGCGGCAATAAGGCTCTAAAAATGATAACGGTAAAGTGGAATATCGAATATAATGCGATAATCGAAAATGTAAAATATCCTCAGTGTCCAATTTTATTCACCTGACTTCCATATTTCTCAAACTGAGTGAATTCACCATATTAGAGCCCTGTCAGCTGCGAAGTGCCCTTCTCAGTCCTCAACTAAGATCTCCTTTATTCGTCCGAATCTCATTAAGCTTTCTCTTTCTCGTTTACTCATACGGGAATCGCACTTAGAGTGCCCTCCAACACACCGTTGGCGTTTGTCTTGGTCCTGTGTCAAGCTAATCATCTCTCTTCAATATAATTGAAAACTGACTTTTCTGGGATGATATTAGTACTGGTATGATACGTTGAAACGCCACCACAAGTCTTTGTTTAGGTTGACTATGCATCAAATTTTGTGTGTCACTACAAATCGGGTTAAATGCATTACGTAAGATGGCCAACGAATGTCGAACACTTTTGCACTTCCCCTCTTCATTGAAAAATGGATTCGGCACGTATTTGAACGTTCTCACATCTATCCACATTTCCATGAAATCTCTATACTCTCCCAGTACCAACTACTCTCTCTCTCTCTCTCTCTCATTTTTACGTTACTGATTCGTAATGTGACAGAAAAAAATCCTGAAAAAGCACGTCGTTTATCTCTGAACTTTGTTCAGTTTGTTTTATTCGTGATCACAACTGCTTCGATTTCTGCTTAGTTTGCTTCACTACTGCCGGTTGAATTATTTGTCGGTTCTTTTCTTTTTCTCTATTCATTCATCAACAATTCCGTAATTTGAAGGAAAAAAGCCAGCTCGTAGAAAATCAGCATCTAACGCGAGCCCACAAATCAAAATGCAGATTCTGAAACCTGGTAAGGTTGAGTTGTTTTTTTTTCAATCAAGAGATTTTCGATAGAGTAAGTGTGACAGAAAATGTACCTTGTCTCATTTGGCAGACATTCTAGTGTTCGCTCAAAAAAGAACAAGAAGAAAAATAGTTGTGAACAGATGTGTACTGTGAACTGCTGAACTGTGGCAATAGCTTGTCTTATCTCCCTCCTCAGCGTGGAACGCGCCTGTTCTCGGCTTTGATCCGTAATGTTAATAAACTTAAAAGGGTATTTGCAGAAAGCGGGAACAAAAATACATTATA